GCTAAAAGGCCTGTGTAGTGGCTGGGAGGCGGCTGGATTGCTGGACGACAGTAGGGTGGGGCCAGAAGGCTTGTGCGGTGGCTGGACGTCAGCAAAAAGAGAAGAACAAGGAGGGATATTCACCACCTCAGATGAGTTGCAACGAAAACAGATTCTAGTCGTCAGATACAACCCTGATAAAAAGAAAAAAAGTAATTAATAGATAACAACGGTATTTATATCGATGACGAGTTCTTCCATTTCTTGGTTTCAAACAAACCTCCAATTCTATTAATAGATAACGAAGTAATTAATGGTTTATTATTAAATAAAACAAACATAACGTAAAAAGAAAAAAAAAGTGAAAACAAAGTACAATCATATTGTTATCTAAAGAAAAACTTTTTGCATTATGTATTTATCGGAATTGGGTAGTGTTTTTTCTTGTAGGTCCGTTCAATCTTTATATTTTGGTGGCCTACACCAGCATCATCTTCTTTTTAGGGGTCTACATTGAGAGTTCTATGTCTTCTCAACACCATGACTGAGGATTTTCTAACCTACCATGCTTAAAAATGTGCAGAAATATAGGATTTACTCATTCTTTTTAATAATTCATACGAACACTTTATTTTGCAAATTTATTTGTCATCATGGAAAGACCTACATGGATACTTAATTTTAAGCAATGTTTTTGCTGCGTAGGAACAATGTGCATTACTACTTATATTTCCAGGGTCATACGTTTACATGAGGCGTAAATCAACGAGATGGACCAACTAATTGCATGAATTTTGAGATAATAGATTTTTTTATTCATTTTTTTCTTTTCTTTTCATTTCTTTCTTTTTCTCATTTCTTCTTTGCTTTTGCTCACTTTTATTTTCCTATTTTTCCAGTATTTATTCACTGCTTCTTTCTCAAAACTTTTTATTTTTAATAGTTTGTGTGTGTATCTACTATGTAAGAATGCATGTATATAAAGAGAGAAAATTCTTTCTCTATGTAGATAAAGAAAGATGAGAGGGTGTGGAGGTCGGGGAGGGAAGAGATAGAGATAGAGAGGGAGAATGTGAGATAGGATTTGAAAAAGATTTGGTGATTGACCTAAACCACCTTAGGTTAGGAATGACTTTACGACCGTTTATGTTGAGGCCCGGTGAAGCTTTGTTAGGGGATTTGGATAGGAGTGGTGCGGGGAAATGTTGAGGCCCGGTGAAGTTTTGTTAGGGGATTTGGATAGGAGTGGTGCGGGGAAAAGATGATTCTAATAGGTGGAGAGAATGTCGACAATCAACTGTGTGCAATCCTTCATGCTGCCAACAAAGAGAGGAAGAGCAAGATGGGAGAGACAATACTATGCACAATTTTGAAGGGTGGTTAGGGATCAAAGCAGTTTTAGTCACCGTTTTTTATTTTATACTACATTTCAATGATATTGTGTCAAAAAGGACAAGTTAGGAAGGCAGCGAACGTGGTGGGGCTTGCGATGCGATTTCTGTATAAAACGAATGCATGTAGTCGGATCTTGTGTGATTTGAAATGATTTTTTTTATTTTTTTATAAAAAAACTTAAAGTAATTTATATTTAAAAATTAATTATTCGTAATATCGTCATTCTTCATGTGTCCTAATTAGCTTGTCATCTTGAGATTTGTACAAATTTTTGTTTTAACTTTTTACATTTTACAAATAATATAGATTTTCTTTTCGTGTATTTTGGATGTTTCAAATGCGTTGCTGTAGTTCATTTTGGAAAAGGATGTTATTCAAGTAGTTTCGGTGATTTTGAGTAATTTTTTTACCCTATTCGGGTGATGTTGTATCCGTGGTTCGCCATTTCCACCATGTTTGATTGAATCAGATGTGGAAGATTCCTTCGCTAATTTCAATTTTGCGGATACATCTGTCTATTCCATTTTACAAATGGACCAGACCTAGGCTATTCTGATCTTGATTGGAGTACCTAGCTTTAATTTATGTGATGTCATTCACTTTCCTCATCAAGATCCATCAAATCGATTGAGTGGCTTTCTCTCAATTATAATTTTGATGCTTTAGGTGCTTTGCCATGATCAGTTTTGTGAACAAGGAAAATTTTGAGTAGTTTTATTGTTTTCTATAATCAACCTATCTTAAAACTCGGTCTATGTGAAATCACGTCCGTCATTTGTCTTGAACATTGTGCTTGACCGTGTCATATCGTGGAACTAACATCAAGGTCAACAAAAAAACACTTCTATTTTCATTATCAATTTTGATAATATTTGAGTTTTTCTATTAATTATGTTCATACCCTTTTGCTAAGAAAAACACATCATGTGTTAATGAAACAAGTGTAGTGTAGCTTCTCCATTAATTTTTTTGCAGTTGCAAGTGCTAGATGCCTTTAATTTCTATTATTTGTATTTCTATATAGCTTAGTTTCAATAGCTATCAAAATGATTCCAATTGCTTCGGCTTTTATTGATAAATTTACTTTTTTACTCTAATACTTATTTTTGTGTGGAATGTCTTTACGTTGTTAATAAGTAGTTCTTTTTTTTTACCTTATTTTATAAAATTTATTCATTTATCCTTTCTTCTATTAGATATTTTTTGCTTCTAGAATCTTTCTTGTGTTGCAATTATATTTATTTGGGTTAAATCCCACGACGGTCCCTTGACTATATGGGTGTAATTAATTTAGTCTTTAAGGTACAAATTTATCCATTTTCATACCTCAACTATACTTAATCCAAAGTGACCTCCAAGGCTTAAGTTGGACTAATTTCATATATTTGGGGGACTTAAATTAGGATCAATTTTATATCACATTTCGGCCATTTTTTTATCAATTTTGCATAGTGAAGGATTAAAGGGGAGAAATAAGATGCTTCAGGGCTTCATTTGCTATGCTTTGATTCGGTCCATCTTGTTCTTTAGGAAACTTTGCATTTGATATTATTTGGCAAAATGTATTTGGATCGAGCCTTTCTAGATTTCCTTGCTGTTTTTCTCTTTAGCTTGCTTTTCTTCTAATTTCAAGCTGTTTTTCACGACACTTAATAAGGTTGCTTATAGTTATCATGTTTTCGTATTTACATGTATTTTTATGTTGGTATGTACAGAGGGATTGGGCAGAGGCTAAGCGGGAACTTCAGGAGGAAAGGGACCGTGTTCGTGTTTTAACATCCGAGAAGGAAAGAGCACTTGAGACTTATATGAGCCAAGTGGAAGATATAAGAAAAGAACTAGCAAATGCTTGGCATTCTGTTGCAACTGCTGAATCTAGAGCAGCAGTGGCTGAGGTGCACTTCTCATTCATTTTTTTCCACCTTTAGGCTGTTATAGTGTACAAGTGCTTATACTTCTCATATTTCTTACAGGCTCGATGTTCTGAACTTGAGGCGAAAATAAAAATCGCAGGAAAAGGGGTGATTTCTGATTCTCATAATTTTTCATATCACCTATGAATGACTTTTTTTTTCAATTATAATCATTATATGGTTGTAATTTGTTCCATTCTTTCTATAAGTCTATCGACATGCAATTTGATGCTGTCTCCACTGGTAATTTTATATTTATTTCTATATTATTCTTATTTTTTTATTTTTTCTTTCCTGTATTGTTTAAGCTCTTGCTTTGCTGTTATACTTGAATGGACAGAAGTTAATTTAAAATTTTTTTGGAAAATATTGGTCTAAAATTTCCCTGTTTTTTGAATTTAACCGCAAATAAAGAGACGCAAAGCCCTCAAGCTATGTTTATTTTTCCATGTATCCTTCTCAGTTTAAAAATTACATTTTTCCAAAGTAACCGATCTCTTTGGTTCTTAATGTAGGTCGTCACTGAGATTGGCATTCATGAACAGTCAGTGCTTTCTACGAATGAGGTTTGCAAGTTCTTAAGTCTTTTACTACTTGGTATATTTAAAGTGGCATACGTTGGTAAAATGAATTGTTGGAGGGGGGTGTTAGTTGCAGTGTTTGTGAAGGAGAACCCTAAAATATATGGGATTGAAAAAGCACCCTATGCAAGAGCTTGAAAAATTTGGTGGCAGTGACCTTGGCGAGCTAGTTGAATTTCGCTCTCTTAATTGGATGATTGTGGCTATACATTGCTTACCTTAGAATATTTGACCAACTAAATATTCTAAAATTTATGAAGATTCATGGCGGCGATGTGGTGCCACACTACTGTTTTTTCTGTTTAGTAAAACTGCGTTTTACCTATGTTTTTAAAAAACTGTAGCTGAAAGTTTTATTTTGTCATCAGACCTGACTATCTTTGGTGGCTGCTAGAGAATTAAGATCCGACTTAAAAATTTTTTTTTTTTGTAATAGCCACTGCATTTTTTTTAAACAACAATTTTTTTTTTCAGCAGCTTCATAACGGCTACTTAAACAGCTGTATCCGCTCCAAATAGACCCTCAATCACTATGTAGTTTGCTTATGATTATTAACAAGAAAAGGTTTTTATACTTTATGTCAGTGCTTAGTATATATATTTGCAGGATAATGATCCTTATCTTTCGAAAGAGTAGCTGCTTTTAACTGTGTACCCATATCTTACCTATCAACCAATTCACACCTGTACACCTGCATGTTGAAAAATATTCCTTCACTTTTTTCCCCCCCATTTTTGCGGGAATTGGGAACTAGTTAGTAATGATTTTGCTTATGGTTAATTATTATGCTATTTGAGTAGATATCTGATGAGTTGAGAAAAGCAAAGGAGGAGCTGGAGAAAGTTAAAGATGAAGCTCGTGCTAGTAAAGAATACATGATGCAGGTTTTTTTGATTTGCTTTTGTCATTTGTTATCATTTTTCAAACTCTTATACATTTTTTGTTTGCCTTGTATTTTAGTACAAAGAAATGGCACGGGTAAATGAAATTGCGTTAAAGCAATTGGAATTGGCACATGAATGCTACAAGTCAGAGGCATGGCAAAATGTTTTATAGTTTCTTGTCTTGGTGAAGTGGACTTTGGTTTAGTAACCTCTCCCTTTATTCTTGTTGTTTATCGAGACTTGTGTCAATTATTGCAGAAGGTCAAAATGAAGAAGCTGCTTGAGGATGAAGCCCAATCTCTGAAAAATCAGGTTTCTGAGCTTGAAAAAAATTATATTTTGAAATGTGAAGAAGCTGCTTCTGCTACTGAAGCCAAAGAAAACGCTCTTTCTTCTGCACTTGTTGAAAACTCCAGATTGCGGGATGAAGTTGCTGAAAAATTGTTAGTAATTTTTATTGTGGATCATGATTAAGTTTAATTTTTCTAATGCATTATAACTATGACTCATTCTTCCATAGAACAAGGCTCAATGAGTTGGAAATTCAAGTTTCTTCGTTAAAAGTTGATTTGGATAAAGAACACAAGCGGTGGCGTATTGCCCAAGACAACTATGAAAGACAGGTTGTTTGACCTCACTATTTAATTTTTTATTGTAGTTTTTCTATATTTGAATTGGATTAACGATTGTACTTTTTATTTGATATTTATGATTTTAAAAAGCAAACATGGAACTTTGTTCTAGATATTTTAATCCCATTTTGTGGTTCCTAGAAGGTGTTTAAGAAGTGGATATAGCTGCGAGATTTTGTGGAAAAGGAAATGCGAAGAATATGTGAATTTTATGGAAGTTGGAAGGATGAAACAACAAGTCGGCTGCTGCCCATGAGGAAAGATAACAAAGGAGTGGACGATCGGTGGCTTGGATGACGACGTGCGAACATCAAGGGGGTGTTCCCCCACCTGCGTCCTTCAAGATACAAGCTCATCAGTTGAAGAGGAAGAGACTACAACACTCCAATGTTAGGAGAAAGCAGTGAGAACGTATCCAAATAACATAAACCAAAGCAAAAATTAACCCTAATAGAAATGTAGTTAAGTAAATGGGAATTGTTGAATGGGATTTGACCAACACATGGGGGTTCAGAAGCCTGAACCGATCCTTCCTGGACTGGTTCTCACGCCCAGGTTTCTGCCGAGGTTAGAAGTAGGAGAAACCCACACCACAGAGATGCCCGTGCCATTTTTCCTAGGTAGGAGAGGACTCATCTTTTTCGCTGGATACTTTGAAATTCTTATAGTATGGCGGCATATTAACAACATGAACTATAACAAAAGTGTTATAGTCACCAACAAATGAATCTTTTATGCATTGTATTGATTTTCTTTATAATTCTAAATAGACCGTCTGCTTTAGGTGTAAGGTTTCCAAAAGAATTTGTAAAAACTTCTTTTTATTAACTTTATCCATATTATAAATCTCCTTAAAATCTTGGGATTTTCGAGACTTATTAACTTTCTTTTGGTACTTTATTTTTTTTTTTGGAAATTTTCTTTCTCACCTGCTCATATAGAAATTGAATATCTCTAACCCTGCTTTAGGACTAAGCTCAGTAACAAATAGTATAGATGCTAATTTTAGCGGTGTGAGCGGGTTGCGCCCATATATAATTTCAAAGGCACCGTGTCCTTTGAACAGGCTAATGGACCGATTTTGGGCAAACTCCACCAGAGGAAGCCTCAAGTCCCACTGCTTGATGTTTTGTCCCACAAAATGCCTTAGGAGATTTCTCAACCTGTGCTTTACAACATTTGCCCATCCATTTGTTTTTGGGTGCACTGTTAAACTAAACTGGAGCTTTTTATACAACCTATCTCATAAAGTTCACTATAGTGGGTGAGAAATTTAACGTCTATGTTTAAAGTGATAGTCATGGGTAAAGACTAATTATATGCCTTGGGCATCCAATACCCTTCATTGCAATTGCCGTGAGTTCTTTTGCCCTAGACTGGGTTGGTACAGGCAAAGGAGAGACTGACCAATCCTTTTCAGGTTAGTTTTTTAATATATGTCTGTCAGGATAGTCGTTAGAGTCCATATTTTTCCTTCTAGGCTTGTATTCAAGGGTGTGTGGTGCTTTAACTATATCTTGTTTTGAAGTGGTGATTATCTTCTATGAATCGAGTAATACTCTGATTGTATCTCACTTATGAGGTGGTACTTATTTTTCTCCAAATTTTATGCAACTTTTTCTCTGTTGTCGCTTTTGTCGTATTTGCTGCGGCCACCAGAAAATTGTCTTTTTATTGTTTTCCTCCATCTGCCTACCATCTAGCCTCCCCTTTCTTGATGCCTTCCACTTTCCTCCACAACCACCAACTCCCCCAACTTTGTGCATTATAGCCCCCATCTACCTTAACTCTCCTTGCCAGATTGTCACTATCCAGCTGCCAAAAAGTGCTCTTTTCTTCGGTTGCTGTTTCAACCAACCTTTCACATCCCTACCGCAACCAGCTGACTTCTACCATACCTGCATACCCTCGATAGACCACTTTTCACCCTCCCGTCGGCTAACCACAACCACCTTACGACCGTCCATCCCGCACAACCAACCATCACCCCTTATACATTCGTAGTTACGTTTGTGTCTTGTTTGCTATTGTTATTTCTCTTTCAATATGGCAGTTGTAACTATCTATTGATTTTTCAGTAATAATATTTGCTTCTTATTGTTGTATGAGTAAACTCTGGTATCATGTTCTCTCTAATGTATACATCTGTTGTGATGTGTAACATCTTGTGGCAAGGTGCACAATGTGCCATTCTAGGGAAGCAATTTTCCATTATCATGTAAAATTCTTTATTCCGTTTTTTCCTGGGGCCAAGTTTACCAAAAAGTCCATGTTCACATCCAACCAGAGCGCATCTGTAACGAGAAAGGGGTGTGTAGATTTGTATTCTGTTTTTGAGTTTTTGACAAATGACACGCCATACACTTTCTAACATTTCTATTTACATCTCAATATCAATCCGAGCAAATAGAAATTTTTATTCATTAGAAAAATATTTTTCCCTTTTATAGAGCCCCACCATGTATTCATTATGACACTCCTGTAAGATTGTTCTTCTTTGTGAAATTTTGGGAATGCACAGCTTGTTTTAATAGAATAAGTAACATTTTGATCTATAGAATTACTCATATGTCCTGTCCAGACAACAGACCTAAATCTTATGAATTCTTCACCATTGCCATCTATAGCCTTTAAAACTTCAAATTCAAGTCATCATAGGCTTCCTGGTACTAATCCAAAAGTAATAACAAGTCACTACATCAACTACTTGGTTCTAACTCTACCTTGTTTGAGCACAAATATAATGAAAATAAGTATTCCGCTCATGAGACATGTTTCCTTTTTACCTTGCTCTTACTATCCAAGAATCTCATAGCTTCATGATCTGTATTAAGAGTGTCCTCATTTGCCAGGAACTAATAACTTCAATTATTGAGGGCTTTCACATTTGCATGACTTCTTATCGTGGGTGGAGTACTTATTCTTAGACTCATTGAATTTCTTAATAATTCATGCAATGGGATGCTTGCTTTGACTCAGCACAACTCCAATTCCTATATTGGAAGCATTACACTCGACTTCAGCTATCTATTTGAAAACTGAGAGGGATAGAACCTAGGCTCAAGTAACTTATTTTTTTAAAAGTTCAAAACTTTTAGATGAAGCCAAAACTTTTGTGCTTCATCTAACCAAGTGAATTGATTTGCAAGCAACAATAGGGAAATGTCGATAGATAGATGGAAGCAAATCAAATAAGGCCACTCTTACAAAAAATAAATGTAAACATGCAAGACACAACAAATGATCTATTTTTGAAAGATAGGTCAACTCTTCCACACCCTAGAAGTTGCTAGAAACACCACCAAAAGAAGAAAACTTAGCAACTAACAAAATAATGCAGAAAGAAAACAAACTTTAGGTTCTCCTCTTAATAGAATCCCCTCATAACATTTTAAAAACTTTTCTTCCTAACTTTCTCAACAAACTTCCTTAATTTCTCCTTCTTGCATAAATGATTATGGCCCTAGTGGACCCTACCCTTTCTTTTCCTTCTTCTGCGACTCCCCCTATCCGCTCCACTTCTTCTTGTTCCCAAGACCAACGTGCCTGTGGGCCGGTTATAACGCTTCCAGCCGGTCCAGTGTGAACCGACTCCTTTATGGGCGTAAAATTACTCCTCTCCCAAAAAAGTACTTTGTGCTCAAGATGGAAGGATGAAAATTGCTTGTTGATCACCTTGTAAGACTCTCATTTTGCTTCATAGTTTAACTGTCCACTCATTTGACCAATACCATCTTTGCTCCCCCTACTCCTAGGCGCATTCCTACGATCTCTAATTGCTCCAAAATCACCTCTAAGTCTTCTGTCAACATCGGCGGTAGTGTAGGTGAGGGTGTATTATCTCCAATTGCACCTTTCAGTTGTGACATTTGGAAAATCTGGTGTAAGTGCGGACGAGCGTTGTAACTTCAAATGATAAGCTAATTCCCCGAGGTGTGCCATTGCCTTATATGATCCAAAATGTCGTGGTGAGTTTCTTTCTCCTCCTGGGCAATGTCTTCTGTCGGTAGGGGTCCTCAACTTCAAATATTTCATATCCCCTAGTTCAAATCACACCTCTTTTCTGTGTTCATTCGCTTCTTCACGATTCGTTGAACTCATTAAATGCCCTTAAGCTTTGCTAGTATCCTGTTCCTCTCCTCCAAGCACTGATAGACACTAGATACTATTGTGACGCTTTGCTCATAATGTACCAAGTGAGGTGGATTCCACCCATACAATATCTTGAAAGGGGTGCTTTGTGATGTGGTGTGGTACGACGTGTTATACTAATATTTGGCCCATGCAATTCACTTGGCTCATACCTTCTGCATATCAGATACAAAACGACGCAGGTATGTTTCCACACTCCTGTTGATCACTTCCATTTGCTCATTGGTCTAATGATGATATGCAGTGCTCCTCTTAAGGACTGTCCTTGCAACCTGAATGGCTCTTCCTAGAATTGGCTGAGGAACACATTCTCAATCCGAAACATTCTATTTCGGTGCTTTGTGCAAACAGACTACTTCCTGAATAAACATCGCTGCAACTGAGACCGCAGTGTAGGGATGCCGAAATGTGTATACTTGGGTGATTCACGGCTACCATGATCACCGTGAACCCTTATGACCGTGGCAATCCCTCAATGAAATCCATCATCACTTCTTCCCAAACCCTCTCCAGTAATGCTACTGGTTGTAGTAACCCTCAGGTGTCAGGTCAAGTACTTCTGTCGCTGACATACGCCACATTTTGCCACCATATCTTTGACATCTTTGTGCATCCCTTACCCAACAAAGTTTAGCTGCCAGACGATTATAGATCTTCTGCACCTCTGATTTTCTCCCAATCACACTGTTATGAAACTCTTATAATAATTTGAGAATGTGCTTAGACGAATTGAGTAGCACAAATTGCCCCTGGTGGAGCAGCTGTTGTTCTCTCAATGTATATCTTAGATGACGACTTGGATCTCATAGTAAATCGACTCTTATTATTCTCAGCTCCTC